TGGCATAGTGACTGCAGAACTTCTTGAACAATAATATACGGTGGCACAAATTGAGGGTCTGGATAACAAGGGGAGTACTCTGACTGCTGCACAAAAGGTATAGCCTTCTGACGACATACCATTAGCCTTTATTAAGTGGAAGCCGTTGATGTTTTAAGTTTCAGTACCAATATATCATTCCTCACTTGGAACTGAACATAATGGTTTGGTAAGTCATTACTTGCATTCCTTACATTCCTTAATAGGAGCCAAAAACTCATTTGATGGTTCAATTTGAAGTGAACTAAGCCTTCATTTTCTTCAACCAGATTGTAAAGAATTGTAGCAAACAGTACTAAGTACCAACCAAGAAGCTCTGTTACTTAATTGAGAAACGGACCTGAAGCTCCGACTCTATTTTCAATAACTCAGACATCAGGTTTCTTGGTTCCAGTTCATGAGACAATCACTTAACATGCAAATAAATACGATATGACAGTGACTTAATGTGCTGTGGTAACTGGTAATTCACCGTAACTTATTTTGGATACTAATAAATGAAGCTGATTATATTGGTAAACTGATTTTCTTCTCCTGGTTGGCCTTGAGCTAGCAACCTGATCATGTTCGTATAAGCTATAGCGAACCACTACATAGGCTGAAACATCATAATTCTTCTAATGGTTGCATAGGTTTTGTTGTTTAGGAAGATACAAATGGAGCTGCAGTTACTTCTGCAACAGAAATTTCAGAGGTCCAGCAAACGCTTGTGAAAGAAGGTGTTACAAAAGTAGAGGTATCTGAGCGTCGTGCTTTTCTCCTCGGAGAGAACTGCTGGGAAGAATTCTTCTAGACTTAGCAGGAACCAAAAAAAAGGAGGTGAAAGCAAGACAATGAATACCACAACAAGGTGTCTTACTGTCGAGGGGAGGGTAGCTTATTGTGCACAGGTACCTCCTGTTTGTCTCCCGTCTTAGTCACTATATTCAAGTTTATAAACCATTGCCTTGCTAAGCTAAACTTTTGCAGAAGTACGCTAAATCCACCCATACTATGTATTTGTATATTTATTTTGTTTGATCTGATTTTTAAATATAATGTTGAACACCAATGGCTTTGATGATGATATGCATTAGTTTTATTTTTGTACTTTTGCATATTTTGTTTCAACTATACTCAGTCCCCTTGGTAGCTTATCTGTATTTCTTTGCTGCAGAATGTGAAGAACAGGTTAGAGGTTTCAAACAAAGATATTAATATTCTCATTTTCGAGCATTATCCATCCAGGATGAAGTTTTAATTATTTTGTTAAATGACAGCAGTTCTTGGATTGGGTGGAAGAGGGAGCAAAATGTCCATATTGTGAAGGTCATGGGTTTACAATTTGCGACGTATGTGAAGGGGCAACAGTAGCTTTGGTGTGAAAATATTGCCAAAACATAGAGAATATTGAGAGTAGAATAAAATATTCTACCATATTGTTTGACTTGGTATCAGAGCCGACTTTCTGGTGACTTGTGTGTGTTGTGCCCACCCCTTGTTCTACTCTGTGCCCTAATTTCTTTTTAGGGTTCTTGTGCCCGTGCTTGTGCTGTGTTTATCGTATCTGCTTTGTGTTGTGTTTGTTTCCGCTGCTATCTATCATGGGTGATGATTCCATAGTTGTGACTGGTACTAGTGCCTCTACACCGAAGGAGGCACGTCCCTCGCGTGATTACTCTACCCTGATTACATCTGACAAATTGGATGGCTCCAATTATGCCTCTTGGTCTCGTGGTGCGCGTATTACGATTACTAGTCGTCGTATGGCAAGT